GGGGCGGGAGATGCAGGTCTTCAGGGATCTTTGGAGGAAATGGAGAGATGGCTTAAGGATTCTAAGCGGCTGTAAACCAAAGAAGTCCCGTGGCCGCCAGATAGAACTGCACTCCATAGGGCTTTCCAAGGCGGAGTTTTGGGGAACAGATTGCCCGGCCTTTCTTCCGAGGTGTACCTGAGTAGACTCGACCCTTTCAGCTTGTGTTTAGCAGCTGAATGAGTGCTTAACCTTTTTGACTCAGGGGTCAGACACGGCAGGGGGCCACAAGGAGCTGGGACCCAGGTCCTGCCCCCCCGCCCCCCCAAGCTGGGCGTCCTGAGCTGGAAGGGTCCTCTCTCTATGGGGTTCGAGGGATTTATGAGGAGCTCTCCGGGTTGTGAAGGGCAAGGTCAGCAGTTTGGAATCACCAGCTGCTCCTCTGGGGAAAGATGAGGTTCTCTTCTTGCAGCGTCTGGGGCAGTTCTCTGCCCCCTAGGGTGGCCGTGAGTTGGAATGGGCTTGGTGGCCGAGTTTGGGTTGGTGGGCTTTCTAACCGAAGGGGCCAGATGGGAGCCTTCTACTCTAAGGGCGGAGCTGAGGCTCCGTGGAGAGATCAGAGGGCAGACTGGCTGCCTTTGGAAGGTTCCAGATCATGGTGTGGGCCTGGCCTGGGAGCTAGCAATATACTGAATAGTGACCAGGAGCCTCCGGGACCTGCCTTGAAGGCTTACACTTACAAGTGTGTTCCAGAAAAGGTCGCTGTGGCCTGGTCAGTTTGTCAATGAAGCCAGCTAGCTTTCCTCCTCCTAAGAAGTTAGAGTAACATCACTGCCCCAGAAGGGGCCTCCATGACAGGTGGCCAGGTGGGCCCGCCTACAGCCCACCTAAGGACATGCCACATCAGATAGCGGCCATCGGCCAATCAGAGCCTCTCTCTTGAGGGGTATAAATGCCTCATGCATAGAGGGCAGCCACCAGGCCTGATGCGCGTGTTTGCTTGGAAACCCTTCCTCCCTGTGGGTCCTCAGCTAGGCTGCCCGCTGTAAGTCTAGTCCTGGTACCAGATGATGTGGGGGCTGGCAAGTGGCCCTGGAAAGCCACCAGCCCCAAGAACCCGGCTGGGCAGGGCAGAAGGGAGAAGACTTCCCCTCTGAGGCCTTATCCCTGGCCCTAGGGTGGTCAGCATGGGATGGGGGTGGGCATATCCCCCAGGTGTCTCAGCGAGCAGTACAGCCCCTGTGAGTGCCTGGGTCATGGGGTACTGGGTTCTGAATCGTCTCTTCTTCCTTGGAGGGAGATGCTGCACAGTCCCAGGGGGGGGGGCTGGGGGGCCAGGGGACAATGTTCTTGGCTGATGCGCCTCGCCTCTAAGCTTGACAACTAGGTTCTGAGGGGGTAACACCCTTTAATGAACCCCCTTTCCAGATAAACAAGTTCTTAGTGTTTGCAACCAAGAGGCCCTTGCTGTCTGAGGGAGTTGCTGTGAAGCTGAGGTGAAGTCATGCACCAGGACTGCTGAGCACAGCGCTGCCCGGAGCTCACTGAGGGCTTGCTGCAGACCTGGGGTGACCTTGAACAAGGTACTTCCCCACACTTGACCTCAGTTTCTTCTGCAGTGTGTGTCTGAGGGGAGGCAAGGCAAGGGGACCGTGGCCCAGAAGTGCCCTTCTGGCTCCTATTTCCCAGGAATTAGAAACTACTTCTCTCGTCTCCTTCCCTTTCAGAGCCAGGCTCTTCATTCACGCACCCGCACCCGCACACTCCCACCCACCCCGATGGTGTGGAAAGGACAGGGAAGTACAAAGAAACCAAGCATTCCAGAACATTCCATTGTGAGCAAGGCTATCAAGTGCAGAAATGCCCGTTCCCGGTTGTCTTCCTCCTCTTGCTGTACCTGTCCTGAGCCGAGCGGAGCCGGACCGCAGCTTGCAGCCTGTGAAAGCAGGAGCAAGTGCCATTCTGGGCCCTCGCCTCCCGCAGCCTGCCTGCATGGGATCCCTTGTGTGTGGGTGGGGGTGGGGTGCCTGGCGTTGGTACTTGGTGCAAGGGGTTTGCCTGCTGTCTCCTGGCCCCATTCCTACTCTGCCCTGCTCTTCTCTACAGCGCATGGCAGGGAGCATGCTAACGAGGTTCCCTGGACTCTGGCTTCCTGCTCTAGCTGCAAGGGTGGCCACCCACCCCCAGGCCAGCAGCAGTGTGGTGGGCGACAGGTACTCCAGCAGCCCCCCAGGGGTACAGACCTCTCATGTGCTTGGGCTCTGGTTCCAGTAGCAGCTATAGTCAAATTAGCAGGCGATCTGGGTGCCTGGGATCAGTGGGGATTCCAGCAATGACATCACTAGAGTGATCTTTCTGAAAACTATTCTCCCCTCAGTCCGGGGAATGAGAGGACGTCCTGCCCCAGGCAATCTCTGGCCAGCTTCATTCTTGACTTTCGGGCCTCTGGATACTTTCTCTCATTTCAATAAAGTTTGCATAGCTCTGGTTTCCTGGCTAGACCCACACTGATGTGCAGCCTGAACTGCCTCACACGGGCTGCCGTGGGCTGAACCCCGGGAGTCTCTGAGGATGCTACCGCTAAGGGGGAGAGAGCTGGGGTGTCAGCTGTCACAAGGCTAAATGGTGACCTTTGGAGTCTGCTGCCTGGACATCCATTCACTCATCCTCGTTGCCCATCCATCCACTTGCTGACACAGCCAGTCCTGTTCTGTCACATAGCCTCTCCTGCAGTGGCAGCTTGCTGTCCCCTTGTCCCGGTGCATCCGTGTGGCCCTGTGTCGGGGCGTGCTGTAGCTCCCTGCTCTGGGGGCGGAGGGCACACAGTGCCCCGTCTGCAGGCTTTCCCGCGGGAGTCCTTTCTCATGCGACATCCCCAACACACCTCTGGGTCAAAATGAGCCAGGGAGAGAAAGCCCCTGGTCTCTTGAGGGGTGGCGAGGCTTTGGTTGTGGAAGTCCTAGGACAGCCTGGGGGCAGCTGTCTCTCCCAGGGGCCTGTGGTCACCCCCTCACCCACGCCTACCCCCAGTTTGTGCCGCCTTTGCGAGAGCCGGGGTACATCCTCTCTTCCCCATCACAGCCCGACTCTCTCTGTGGAGTAGGGATGTCGTGGGTTGGCACCCTTCGGACTTACCATGACCCCTTGCCGACTGACCAGTGGTCAGCAGAATGGGGGAGAGGCAGCTCCCTGCGGCCAGCACCCGAGTCTCTGTTACCCAGCCAGGGCCCCCCTCTGGGTACCGAAGATGGAAGAGGGGGAGGATCCAGATTGGGCCCAGGAAAATCACTACGATGGATCGGTCGGCTTAAAGTCAACTCTTAAATATTTAATTCCCATTTATTTAAAGTCTCGTCAGTCTGTATACACTATTTATATTAAAAACACAGGAAGCTCGGGCTCCTAGAAAAAATATACATTTCCATTTTGGAGATTGTTCAGCCACTGAGAAGAGCTGGACCCTCAGCACCAGACCGCAGGAGGGCGGGGGTGCTGGCCAGGCAGCTTCTCTCCCTTCACAGAGGGAGCGCCAGCACACCCGTCACGGGGGCTGGGCCTGGAAGACCACAGGGCAGGCGCTGGGTCTGTGCTCTCTGCCGGGCTCTCCCTGCCCAGTGTGTGGTCAGGCTACCAGGACCTGTGGGAAGGAGGGCCAGGCAGGAGCCAGGTAGTCTGGGGGCTCACACAGGGTCCCTAGCCACTCCCCAGGCTCGTTTCCTCACAGGAAAAGCGGCCTGGGCAACTTGCTGGCCTCCGGCCTCCATGTCAGGCTATGCTTAAGCCCCTCCTTGGCAGTCTGGGGACTCTTCCCTGGAGCCGCGAGGCCCTGCCACCGGAGTGTGTGCAGGGGAGCGAGCGCAAGGGACCAGCTTGGGGAGGTGGGGCACACAGAGCTGCTGGGACAAATGGCTAACCGAACACCAAGGCCCATTTACCTTCTGAGGACACTGCTGTCCACCCAGAGACCAGCCCCAGCCCCTTCAGGGGTGCAGCTCTGCCCGCCCACGTGCCCACCGCCCACCCTGTGGGCCCTCACCTGCCTCAGGGAGGGTAGGCGGAAGGGAGCCAGAACTCCAGGTAAAGTGATCTCAGTGCTGTGGTGTGCACTGGAGCGGCAGCTCCAGGGAGTGTGTGGGGAGGTGGGGGTGCATGTCGGCTCGAGGTCTCCTGGCCCAGACCAGGCCCCCCGGGCAGACACCCCGAAGGCTGGACCTCGGCTGCGCCAGAGCAGGGGAGTATGGGTGCTGACGCTCCCTGGCCCTCAGACCCCTGCTGGGGTCAGGAGTAAGTACCCTGCTCCTCAAGGGGGGCAGCTCACCTCCTTTCAGGCTGGGGGTACCCTCCAGCGGCCAGCACAGGGGTCATGGGCGACACTGGCCTGGAAGACCCATGCAGAGAAGAACGGAAAGGATGTTGGGTGGCGTGGGCGAGTTGGGTGAGGGGCTGCCAGGCTCAGCTGTGGGTGGGTGGGCAGGCGGGTGGTGACAGTCTAGGGCCCCCCTGCCCAGTGTCCTTCACAGGCTTCTGCTCCTGTCGGCCAGGGCCACTCTCGGCTCCCCAAGGAAGCCAGGCTCAGGCGGCTTAGTGTTTCTTTGGATGGCGCCAGCCTTCCGCTGTGCGGCTGGGAGCCAGGGCGCAGCGGGGGCGGAAGCGGAGGAGGACCTCTGTTCTATGCTGCTGGTGAAATAAAATCAACTACGTCCCAGACGGAGACAGAGGGGCAGACGCTGGGACAGGGAGGCGGGGAGGCAGGTGAGGCGGGAGAACCCTCCAGAGAGAGGGGGAGCATGAGGAAGAGGCGTAGGGCACCGAGGACGGGCGAGGAGGAGGAGGAGAGTACAGGGGACATGAGGCCGGCTCTGTGGGAGCCCTCGAGGAGCCCCATGCTGGGCTGGGCCGGCCGGGCCGGGCTGGTGGCTGGTCAGCACAAAGTCCATGGCAGGGCCCTCCCACCCTTCAGTACATGTCCTTGTAGATCTCCTGCAGCAGCGGGTGCAGCAGGGTCTCGGTCTCCGTCTTCTTGATGCGCTGCATCATCTGGGCGTGCTCGGTCACCAGCTGCCGCAGGTCGGCCATCTTCTGCAGCAGCTTGGGGAAGAGGTACTGGGCGTCGGGGTGGTTGGCCTGCAGGTGGAACTCCAGGGCCTGCAGGATGGTGTCCTGGATGGCCTCCACCTGCGACACGTTCATGAGGCCCGGCCGGTCTGTGGGGACACGGGGTACAGGGGTGGGAGACTCACTCTGGGGGATCCGGGACTGAGCTACTAAGCGCTCTACTTCCTCCACCAGCCTGCACCAGCCCCCCTCCCCCTCCCCGCCGCTTTTGCCAGTTTTGTTGCATCTTCTTCCCTGATTGGATGACACCAGGTTCTGGCTGAGACACTCACGGCCTGAGTCAACCCCCATAGGCAGGCACCACCTTCCGGCTGCTGTGGCGCGGTTGACTCGGCTGTGCAGCACAACACCAAGACATCCTCCCACCAGCTGTTGAGAAGATTGAGTGTGCAGAGGCACAAGAGGGCCCCTCCTAGCTGTATGCTGGTGCCATTGGACTTGAGGAGCCCAGTGGTGACAGGTCAGGCTGCTAACGGCAAGGTCAGTGATTTGAAACCATCAGCCCCTCCTTGGGAGAAAGACAAGGCTTTCTCTTTCTCCTCCCAGAGTTTCAGCCTTGGAAACCCACAGGGGCACTTCTAGCCTGTCCTGTAGGGTTGCTACGAGTCAGCACCAACTCGATGGCAGTGAGTTTGGGTATTTGAAAAAGGCCTGTAAAAACACGGAAATTTTCTCTACCTGCCCCCCCCCCAAAAAAAGGGGACCACTGTCCTAATAGAGCACGCTGGTGTACTCCTTTCTGGCTTCCCCATGACTGCACACTAAGACCGAGCTGAGGCCGCACCGTGCACTTGGTGCCTGGGTCAGCACCCAGAGCGGGGTGCCGTGGCGACGTGCTGGGGCAGTTCTCCTCTGTCTTCTGGGGCTGAGTCGGAACCTCTGGGACAGCAGCGGCTCGGTTTCTAGGTCAGCACAGGGGGCCTCTGCCGGTGTCCGGGCCCCGGAAGGGTGGGCCGCCGCCAGCACTCACCCCCACACAGGATGATGGCTGCGATGAATAGCGCCAGGTCACTGTCGTCCAGCTCCAGCGCGTTGAATTTGACGGCGAACTCAAACTTGGGCTCGATGATGTCGCTGAAGGGCTGGCGGAGGCTGCGCAGGAACTTGCGGGTGACGAAGCCGCTGCCGTTGGCCACCAGCAGCCCGTCCTTGTTGATGATTGAGGCCAGCATGGCGAAGATGGCCTCGTGCACCCCGTACTTGAGGAGCGTCACCTGGTCATTGAGGAAGAGGCTGCCGAAGCTGGGGATGCTCTTGGCGAACTCGGTGAGCTCGCGCACAGTCTCCACCGTGGTGCACTGGCAGCGGTAGAAGACGTGCACGCTGATCTCCTTGTAGGGCGGCAGGCTGTTCACCAGCTGCTTCCACACCAGGCCCTTCTCGGCCTGCCACAACGTCTCGATGTCATGGATCACAAAGGGCTGGAAATCCAGGCCCTGTTAAAGGCAGGTCCCAGAGGCCCGCCACCCCACCCCACCCCACCTCGGGTGTCTCCGGCCCCCACCAGTCCCCGCACCAGGAAGCAGGGGAGGGAGGGGTGCTGCCCGGGTGTGCAGTGAGCCTCACCGCCGTGTGGCTGGCCTTGCCAGTGAGGATGCTGCGGGCCTTCTTCTTGGTCATGTTGAAGTTCTTCAGGTAAGCGTGGTAGAGGTGCTTGGAGAAGGCCTTCAGATCAGCCACCTGCGGGTTCTGCCGGCTCCCCTCGTTGGCCGTCAGCCCCGCCACCAGCTTCCTCTTCTCCGCCTCTGGCATCCGGCCAAAGCGGATGGCTGCTTAGGGACGGGGACAATCACCCAGGCAGCCCGGGCAGGGGTCAACCTCCAACCTCCCCAACAGGCTGTACCGGCCTGCAGAGTCAGCAAGTGGGGCGCCCCGGGGGCCCTCCCTCCAGACTGTAAGGTCTCTGCATTGTTTGCTGCACCTTGTAAAAAGTGGGGATGGGCGGTACACGGGTGTCCAGGAAGACAGCCCATGTGCCGTCCCAGCCTGACCATGGCCAGAATTTAAACCTGTGGCCACAAGCATGGAGGGTGCAGAGGTGCCTTCTCCCAGAGACGGAGACCCCACCCACAGAATGGGGCTGAGGCACGTATGGACTGAGGGGAGGCCAAACCCCACACCTGTCAGACCCAGATCGTCTGAGGACAGCCACAGAGGGCGGCCCAGGCCCTGCCACCTGTAGGACACCAGACAATCAGGCTCCGAAGGCAAAAAAGGTGGCAGGGAGCCCAGAGGGACACTCGACCAAGGGCACCCTGCTCTCTTGCCCTCGGCGTGTCCAAAGCGGTACAATAGTTTGTCCTAGGGGGCTGAGAGTCGGGGGCTGCTGCAGACAGGGAGTGCTGGGCAGGGAAGGCTCTGTTCCCTGAGAGTGGCTAGTTTCCAGGTCACTCCCGGCCTGGCCTGGCCAGCTGACATAGGTGGGCAGTTTCCGGCTCTTGCCTGCCCTCAGTGGCCATGAAGGGCTGAGGAGACCGCAGGCCTGCGGATCGGCCTTCCAGGCTGGGTCACGTCATCTGGGCTGGGTGTGCGGTCTGGGCGCGGGGTCCCCAGCATGCGTCCTGGGCACGGAGAGGGGACGAAGGTCTCAGGCCTGGACGCTTGAGCTGGGCAGTCGGGAAATGGCCACGGTGTGCTGAGCAAAAGCTTCACAGCGTGGGGTCTAGGTGAGGGAGGTCACCTCGCTGGCTGACCGTGTCCTCCTCCCTGGGCTGCTCTGGGTGCGCCCCAAACCCGCCTTCGGGTGGTGAGGAGCCGAGCGGGGCTCACCATTGTGCGACATGCCCAGCGCCAGGCACTTCTGGAAGCGGCAGTGCTGGCACTTGTTGCGGTTCTTCTTCTGGATCTTGCAGCTGCGCTCGCAGCGCTCATACTCCAGCTTCATGTGGACCGTGCGGCGGAAGAAGCCCTGGGCCAGACAGCAGGTGGGTCGGAGGAGGCGGGAAGGGAGTGGGGGCTGGCGCGCCGGGTGGGACCAAAGGGCCATCAAGCATCCAGATGGAGAGAATCCCTCGTTTGGAAGCAAGGGGGAAGAGTGGAGGGCGGGCTGGTGAGGACATGACCTACCACACTCATCTGCGCGCCCAGAGCGGAGCAGCCTTACAGGCTCTTTGGTACTGGGCAACGTGCAAGCGTTGCGGCTACTTGCTCTGCTCATAAAGGCACCTGGCTTTTTGTATTCTCTGGGTGGTGGGGGGGCTGGGAAAATATTTTGTGAGCGTGTGGTGGGTGTGTGGCGGGAGCTTGGCTGGAAGAGAAACACATTTCCTTTTTGTCCCCCTCACAGAGCGCGGGGCAGGAAACCCTGCCCCATGTCCACCAACTCAATCCGCGCTGCCTGTCTGCTCAAGCCTGGCCCCCAGGGGGCGCCAGACACCCAGAGAGCCCACAGGCGGGTGGGGCTGGCACTGGGGCTGGGCTAAGTGCCCAGTAGGGCAGGTTCTGACTCGGATGCTCCTCTCCAGGAGGGCCAGGAGCCAAGGGCTGGGCTCCTCCCAGTGGGAACTCCCCTCCCCGTGGCTACCTTTCAGGCCCAGCCTTTGTGGCAGGCTGCCAGCCCACATGCCCCCCACCCTGCCAGCCCTGCCCCGGGGTTCTGTACCTTGCACCCCTCGCAGGCATGAACGCCGTAGTGGAAGCCCGATGCCTTGTCCCCGCACACCCGACACTCCATGTTGAGGCTGCCGCCCGAGGCCCCATCACAGCCCACCTGCAGCCGGTCCAGCAGTGAGGGAGGCGAGGAGCTCTGGGAGAGGTCTGTGGACAGACAGAGGATGGACAGTGTTGAGGGTAGGGGTGGGGGTGTCCAGAGCCCACAAGGGGAGGGCAGAGCTCTGCACTGCATTTCTGTGTCACACAGGCCACACGGAACTTAACCTTTCTGGGAATCAATTTCTAGGCTAGGGAGGACAGGCAACGGATTCCAAAAACACTCTTCAGAGCCACACCACATAGCTAGTGCTCAGTCAGGGACAGCCATTACTCCCGGCGGCCCGGTCAGCGCTTCCCTGGGCTGAACTCGAGAGGCGGGGGGAGTCTATACCCATGTGTGCACGGAGGGAGCTGGGCCCATAAAGATCAGGAAAAGGGTTGGCCTCCCACCCAGTCTACTGGACCAGTGGACTTCATCTGCGTTTAGAATCTAACACCCACCCACCCCAGTCCAGGCCCCCCGCCAGCAGCCGCTTCTGTCAGTGGGGAGGATTCCGGGCTCCGGGAGCTCAGCTTCCTTATCTCTCCGGAGGCGCTGCAAGGCCAGACCAGGACGTGACCTCAGCAGTCACCTCTGAGAGAGGTGAGTTCCTTGTGTGCACATCTAAGATGAGCCTCTTCCCGTTAGCCCTTCCTCAGAGCACAGACAGGGAGGAAGGTGAGGCAGGCCTTTAGCATCTCCTGATGCAATCTATGAGCCTACTCAGAGTGGACTGTCCCCACAAGGATGAGACTTTGTCCCCAAGGACACAGCTGTTGCCTCAGGTTCTGACAAGAGAAACGCACTGTGTCAGGCACTGTGTCAGGCACTCGATCACTATCTACGGGATGATCACTATCTCCAGTCCACTAACTGTCCTGGACTCCAGTATGCAAGGACAAGAGATGCGCATGGCTGTTGTCAGGGAACTGAGATAATGGGGAAAAGCCGGGCGTGGCTGCCGGGCAGGGAGGGCTTCCTCCTTGGATCCGCGTGCTCCGCCGGTTTGCTGGACACTTCTCGCGATCAGTGTGGTCTCTGTGGCTCGCCGGTCTCCTGCCTCTGCTGGACTCCAACAGCACCTCCTTCAGCTTTCACAGGCCCCTCCCTCCACCAGACTGGTCCACAGCCACCAATCGAGACAGCGTCAGGACGGCCCTTCGAGTCACAGGAGCCCTGGTGGTGCGGTGGTCACCTGCTCAGCTGTGACCCGCCAGACCAGCAGTTTGAAGGCACCGGCCATTCCTTGAAAGAAGGAGTGGCTAGTGGACCTGGACTCGAAGGCGGCGAGCCGGCGTTGTGGCTTCGAGCCCTGATTCCTTCAGTGATGCTCAGTGCTGACCTTCGTGTCGTCAGGGCCATGGTGTCCGGCTCACGGCGACGATGGGCAACAGAAGGAAGCATTGCCCAGTGCTGCGCCATCCTCCCAGTCATGCCCAGCCCATCCTGGCAGGCACTGGGGCAAACCATCTGAGTAACGTAGTGGGTGGTGTGAACCGAATCCCGCTGTTTCCTTGACTAAAGACACCATGCTACAGTGTCCTTGGGGCGATGTTGGCAGAAGACAAAACCTCCATTAAACCCAGTCCTTTAAGAGCCATCCTGGACACAGAGAGACCCCAGGACCAGATCTGTCTGAAGTGGCCTGGCTGTTGAGAGCCGCTGCACGGAAGACTGGGGGGAGACTCAGGGGGGCAGCGAGACAGGCAGCAGGCGGCTGGCTTCCTGACTCACAGGCAGATGCCAAGGGACCAAGTGGCCGAGAGGCTGAGATGAGCTATTATAGACAGACAGATACCTGTGGTAACCCGTCCCTTTCCTTACTGAACCCCTGTAATTGTGAGTACTGTCTGTGAGCTGTGGGGCCAGTGCAAGGAACACGCGAGCCCAGCACAGGTGACAGACGGAGGTGGGGGAGTGAGGATCAGACCGGGTGAAGAAGGGTGGAGGGTGAAGGCCCTAGGGGAGCCAGAGGTCACACACGCCAGCCTTCCTGGCCGTTTGTTGCTCCAATTGTCTCATCCCACGCCCCTCCTCGCTGCCCCATGGCCCACGATGCTCTGCAGGTGTGTAATTGCTGGCAGCCACTGGCAGTCATGTGGCAAAACCATTTGAAGAGCACCTGCAGCCTCCATGGCCCAGACCCTGCTCTCCAATACCTGACCTCACAGGGCAGTGAGAAAACCGCATGGATAGGAGACAGGCAGGGCGCTCAGGATCTACCAAGCGCCAGCATTCCTGTGTAAAGCCATCAGCTGGGCTCAGAGGTGAGGGCTTTGCATGGCCTCCAAGTCAGTGTCCATGTGGGTAAGAGCCAGATGCCTGCGCCTCGTGGCAGAACGACAGCGCCCTCTCAGAGCAGCAGGGGTGGGAGGGCTGGGTAAGTGCCAGTGGCTAGTCTTTCCGTTTCCAAGCTGTTTAGCGCCCAGCCCCAATCCCACTCCCAGGAACACACGGCAAGGGTCCCTGTACACTAGGCAGCACCTCCCCCGCGCTGCTGCAGAGCCCTGGCTCAGGGTGTCGTAGAGGAAGCTAAGACGCCTGAAGGGTGGTGCCTGAGCCCATGGGCCACGTGAGATGCCCTGAGCTCTCGAATGCCCGGAGAGCCTCCCAGTGGGGCTGGCAGGTGAGTGGGTATGAGCTGTCTCACCTGTGAGCAGTCAGGAGTGTCCCACAGTATCGACGGTGGCAGGGTAAAGGCCTGGCCAGCCCTGAGAACACACCTACCCGATGCACAGGCGGAGGGGGGGTGGGGAGAGGGGCTTGGGTGGTCTTGTTTGTATGCGGTGATAAGAACGTACCCTGGGGGGATTGTGGGGTACCTGTAGATGGGGGACCCTGAGGTGTTGGTAGCTTGGGGGTGAATTTTCCAATGACAAAGGTTCTACTTCCAGGTCAACCACAATTTACTTGACCTCACTAAGGCCCCACTTCCTCCCCTGTAAAAGGAGGTCAAGAGACCAGCTCGAGGGGTTCTTTTGAGGTTTTAATGACATCATCCTTCAGCCCACCCAGAAGATGACAAAATGCTCCTAGTTTGGGGGACTAGGCTCTGGAGATCCCTCCTGCTCAGAGATGGGGCAAGCAGGCATTGAGATCAAGGGGGAAACTGAGGTTCTGAGTACACCCAACCAAACTGGCCTGCCAGGTGGAAGAGGTGGGATCTGCTGACCATGGCGCCCTCCCACCAAGCCCCTGTCCCTTTCCTCCCCTCAACCCCCTTCTACCGCTCAGGAAACCCACCCTCTCGCCTGCTGAGCCCACAAGGCACCCCGAGTCTGCGAGTCTGCGTCCACTGGGAAGAGGGGGCGGGTCCCAGCCTTAGGCCGCTGCTTCCACATGTCAGGGATGTTGCTGTTTTATGCTGGGTGTGGCCATTTGCCATCACCAGCTGGGAAGCCGGGCTCACCACCAGTTCAAGGGGGACACTGAGGGGGAGGAGGGTGGGCCTTTGCACGGCACACCTACTGTGCACCAGGCACGTACTGGGCTCTTTACATCCACTATGCCTGTACGCCTCAACGAAGCCCTCCAGCTGCTCCCCTCGCCTCATTCTGCAGGCGCAGAGCGGGCTGGGAGGGTCAGTGACCTGCTCACAGCGCAGAGCAGGGATGACCTGGGACCACCCAACGCCTGGAGCTGGGGGCCTCCCCTGTGCACACGCAGGGGCAGGTTCATGGCTACTCAACACGACCTTGTTACGATAAGGGTAAGACCACACTGCTGAGGACAGCACTGCTCTCGTTATTGGAAGGCACTGACCTCTGTGTTTGGAGCCAGGGTGAACACTAGCCCAGAGTGAAGTATCAGCTGCGCCCCGTTTGATTACAAGTTTAGTAAACAGACCGAATGACCTTACTGACATCATTGCATATCTTGTTGCCATCGCTGGTCAAGGGTGTGAGGGCGGCCTGTCTGTTGACTTTGCCCGTAGAGCCGCATAGGCAAACAGGCCCATCGCGCTTCGCCTCTAATGTCAAGGCAAGTCCTACAGGAATCTGGGGCTATGCTGCCAAGTGGGTGACTGTCTGCTGGCCCGCTCACCAGGGCTGCTCTGAGCAAGCACTCAGGGCTCTCAGCCCCTGGCGAGCCTGGACCTCACCGAGTGCTGCGCCCAGGTGAGGAGGAAGGCGACCTTCTCCTCTTCAGCCCCCAGCTAAGACTCTTGACCTCCTTCTTGGGGGTGGTTGGGATGCATGGCATTGAGACAAGAGTGAGAGGCCTGAGGTGGGGTGTGAGTACCACTTCTGCTGCCCATTGTCCCTAAAGAGCTGGTAAGTGAGTATCTCATGGTTGAGTGCAAAAGGGGCTACCAGCCAGCCAGCCCGACTCACAGGTGTGAAGAGTACTCGTAGGTAGAGAGCTGGGGGCAGAGACCCGGTGAGTGCAGAGCTGCCGGGGATCAGAGGGAAGCAAACTCGGCAGGCTTCCTCCCATTGCGTCAGGGCGTGGGGCCGTGCCCTGGTCGTCACAGGTTCCTAGGAGGCTCCGGAAGGAGCCCTGGTGGTACAGAGGCTGCACGTTGGGCTGCGATCAGTAGTAAAGCCAGCAGTTCAAAACCACAAGCTGCTCCTCATGAGAAAGACGAGGCTTTCTACTCCCGTTGAGAGTTAGTCTCAGAAACCCACAGGGGCAGTTCTGTCCTGTCAGAGGCTCACCAGGAGCCAGAGTGGACTCGGTGGCAGTGGGTTTGGGTTGTGAGGAGTCCTGGTGGAGTAGTGGGTTCTATGTTGGGCTGTAAACCTTACAGCGTCCGTTTGAAGCCACCAGTTGCTCCGGGGCATGAAGATGAGGCTGTCTTTCTCTCCTGTACAGTCACAGCCTCGGGACCCTCAGGGTGCTCTCAGTGGGAATCAACCCCATGGCCGTGAGTTTGGTTGTTTTTAGAGACGAGTCCTGGGGACTAAACTGCTAGTCAATAGTTGGAGGTTTAAACCCACCCAGTGGCTCCTGGGGGAGGGACCTCAGGATCTGAGTCTGCCCTGAAAACCCTAGAGCGGCTCTACTGTCACAGGAAGGAGGCCGAGGTCCTAGGTGAGTCAACAAAGGGACACAAGGAGCCCTC